GAATTGTCATTTTTACACATATGCACACACACACACACACACACACACACACACACACACACACACACACACACACACACACACACACACACACACTGGGGATTATGGGGTGTGGGCTCTCTGAGTTTGTGTGGGTGTGTTGATCAGTTCTTACTGGTGGGGTTGAATAACTCCATAGCTCCATCTGTTGGGGTAATGCACTGGTGCATTGTGGTTTTTCTCTAGGTTGACGTGGTGGATAATTATTTGGCTTTTCTTTAAAATTTTCTTTCTTATCTTTCTGAATCTCAATCAGTTTCTGTTGATCTTCTTTTGTCTTTATTTCTTCATCTCCTCTCCTTCCTTCCTGTCAATCAGCTTTTCTAATGCCTTGCTCATGGGCAGTCTGACCGTCCAGCAGCTGGATGATTCTCCACAAGGCAGATTTTAAATTTCTTTCGTTTTCCAGAATTATTATTTTCTTTCAACCAATGGCTTTTGGTTTCAGCTTCTCTCTCTAGCGATTGACACTCAGTCAAACCAATCAATGATCAGCCTTTGTGGTTAGCTATTTGTTGTGCTTCTCTGTATCACTGATCAATATCATCACATTGAGTTTCGTTTCATAGTCAATACAGTGATATGTAGCGTGTGTCCATGGGTATGGTGGAGTACAAACCCAATAATATTCACTTCTCCTTTCAGATCAAGTAGGATTTATGTCTGCTCAGTAGGGCAAACATAAGTCTTTGAGACAAAAGTCAATATAAAGTGCCTTGAAAAGATTAAATATGATAGTTGGTGTGATACAAATAAAACTGATATGAATATGACATAAAAAAGACTATAGTGATATTGTTGAACTTACATTCTGGCCACAGTAAAGACCTTTTATTTACCACTACATCAGTGAGGCTCCCTTGTTGTCTCCGTGTGTGCTTGCCCATCTGTGTACAAACAGTACTGTGTTGGTACGTGCACGCAGGGTGAGAGTGGGTGGTCCCCCTTCCCCCCCGACCTGTTCCTCTGCCTCTCTAAACTCTTCTTCTCCACGTAGCTGAAGGAGTATGAGCGCAGCAAACAGTCCTGCAGTACTGACGCTGCAGAGTGCACTGACGGACCTGCACCCAATCTAAACCAGTCCTCAAACTGCAACGTAAGTACACCCCCCCTACCCACCCCATTACCCTATCTGACACCCTCAAACCCCCGACACCTGTCCCCTTTACTCTGCCTCTCGTAAACACTCTCACCTCGAGCAGTCTCACCTGTCAGTTTGATTTTTCAGCCGAGGAAGTTGTGGAGAACAGCCATTGTGTGTGTGTGTGTGTGTGTGTGTGTGTGTGTGTGTGTGTGTGTGTGTGTGTGTGTGTGTGTGTGTGTGTGTGTGTGTGTGTGTGTGTGT